AATAGGTCGTATAATAAGAGGGAAAAACATCAGATCGATCGGAAAGGGAAGCACCAGATCGACTGAAGGGAAATGACACAAATCAACCGGAAGGAGAAACACCGGGTTGACCGAAAAGAGAACACATCAGATCAATTACTTCACAGTGAATCAATTACTCACAACATCCACGCCCCACTGCCGGGAGAGTCCTGTCAATCGACACGGCTGGGCAAGGATCACACGTCCTGGGCAAGGCGTCCCTTCCACAGGTGGAACTCGCACGGGTCTCAGTCTCTAGCAGTTTATATAAGCAGTTACGGAGTTTGCAGAGCAAGCATCTAGTGTTCCCATGTACAAATGGTTATCAGTGGCGTACGTGCACTGAGCCCCTTGGCTAACGTCCCAGCCCAGTAATTGTGTACGTGCATTGTTCTCTTTGGTTATCGTCTTAGCCCGGCACAGATGGCCAGTCCATCCTGTGCTACGACGCTCCAAGAGCCTTGAAATGTTACAACTTGTGATGGCCAGTCCATCCTGTGCTACTACGCTCCAAGAGCCTTGAAATGTTACAACTTGTAACTCTCTCCGTGGGAGAAGGGCCAGTTCCCACCATGTAGAAAGCAGCTTTTATATTTCTTTTTGTGCTGGTGGCTGTAGGTCAATGGAGCGGCCAAACATGGCTGTACTCATGTCAAGACAAACAGCATTACCAGTCAGTCTCTCCATCACTCCTTTCATCTCAGCAATATTACAGAAAGGGAATGTCCAAGTGTTGTTTTCTGATGTCAGATGAAGTTTGTTTATGACATCAACTTGAATTTAACTTGGCTCTTTTTAAATATTGAAAAAAACTTTCCAATTGCCTTCTTTTCTACACTCAAGCTAATGCTAATCAAACATGATATTTGATTAACCTCTTGAAACATGTTATTCCAATATGCCTTGAATGACTACACTGATGAGTTGGATAAAATTAATTGCTGGGGTTGATGAACTCTTGTGAATCACTGCAATTCATTCTGCTGGTTCTCGCAAGCTACACTGTTACCTCCAGAGATGTGACAGGCACCAGACACCACAACCAAAGCTCTGGTTCTCGCTCAGAGTAGAACTTGAGAGGACTAAATCTTTCAACACTGTCTTAGGCTATGCAATTATGGGATAAACTTGAACCTATTTGTTGCTTCTTTTGAATTTGGAACGCATTTTTATGTTTTATATGGGCTTTATTAAAGTGTGTCTTGTGTTCCTGATCATCCTTTCTCTTTGAATTTGTTGTTAGAATGAAAAATTGCTCTTTGTTTATTGTTCTACACTATTTCATCCGTGCTTAAGAAGGCAGTCACCTGATCTTGAGTAAAGGTTGCTGCAGAGAAGAACTAGGAAGTAATCTACAATTAAACTTAGCAATAGTTCCAGCCCTTCACCGTGGGCATTGATCTGAGCACCACAAATTAAAAGTAACGTTTAGCCTATGGAGAAATCCTGGAGGAAATCACAACAGTGATGATCTTGAGATCTGAAAATAGAACCAATAAGGAGAAGACGTGAAACCAGGGTTATTTCTTCTGGAAGGAAAAAAACTCAGGTTGGACTTAAAGGCTGTCTTCAAACATGTGAAGTTAGTTATTATTCCAAGGATAGTGATATATAATCTTTTTATATACTCTGTGGATAAAATCAAGGAAAATTGGTTTAAATTGTAATAGAAGAGATTTAGATTAGGTGGGAAGAAGAAAATTTTCTGATAGGAAATGCAAAGGGAATACCAAGAAAATGTGTGGATTTCATTTCTCTAGTAAAAGTCTGACCATTGGGGCTGGCCTGGTGGTGTAGTGCATTCCGCTTCAGCGGCCCGGGGTTTGCAGGTTCGAATCCTGTGTGCACTGCTCATCAAGCCATGCTGTGGTGGCATCCCACATACAAAAAATAAAAAAATAAAAATAGAGGAGGATGGGCATGGATGTTAGCTCAGGGCCAGTCTTCCTCAGGAAAAAAAAAAAATCTGACCATTGATTAGACATTGGATTGAGTAGTCTTATCTGTTGATGATGATCCAAAGCTGAGCCTTGTTCTCAAGATCCTGAGGTTTTCTCTTTCTATCACCATTCGATTTATACTTTTAGAATGTCACTTTTATGATTATCTCTTCTTGGAAGCAAAAATACCTCTCAATATGATTCTTAGAAAACAGTAACTGAGCTCTGTTATTGAGTTATTTATACCAGCACGGATAGTGAAATGGGTATTTAAGAAAATGCTGTGTTCTAAGCAGAAATTTCAGACTGAGAATGATTTTTCTTAAAGCTGCTAGATGAGCAGGGCTTTTTAACTTGATTTCTCTTCATGTGTGGTGTCTTGGTCCTCGATTCCTTGTCATAACAGATGTTTCCTTTCTAAGACAATATAAAGCTACATTTTTCTGTTAAGAAGACCTCAAATTCTGTAGGGTGGGGGTAGGGGAAGTTCTGAGGGAAGAGCCTGGTTTCTCTTGGCCTCAGATATCACCACCTAGTGAGTTTTTGTGACTTATGCTGTGACATTCAGAGCCAAACCTTATCAGTAAAAGGGGTTGAGTATTCTATTTGCAAAAAGTCTTTTTTTAATTTAATTATTTTGGTTCCCAGTATATCATTCCCTCCATGACAATTAACCCCAACAATGAATTTTATTTTTTAAAAAAGAAAACAAAACAAAAACCCAACAAAATAAATTATGATTCTAAACGTGATTTTCTCATGCTGTGGATTGAAAAAACTTAATCTCTCATAAAGTAAAGATCAGACTATCTGACAATTCCCAAAAAGAAAATCTACCATAGCTCCAAGGTACCAAGGTAAACTTCTACATGTTACAATGTCTTCTACTCATTGAAAGCTTTTAAAATTCATTGAAATATGAACATTCATATTTGAAACTTAGTTGAAAATAAAGTCAGGTTGCTTCCTAATGTAGCCAACATACTATCTAAATTGTTAAGAATCCATTGTGATGCCAAAGACAATTGTAACTTGAGATGGTTGATTCTAAAGCTCTCAGCCAAGTAACCCACAAAGTGGAGCAAAGAGCTTATGTTTAAGACTTAGTTTGATCTTCAACAGAGGTGCCAAGAACACACAATGGGGAAAGGACAGTCATTTCAATAAGTATTGCTGGGAAAACTCGTTTCCACATGCAGAAGAATGAAATTGGACCCTCATCTCACTCCATATACAAAAACCAGTTCAAAATGGATTAAAGACTTAAATGTAAGACCTGAAATTATAAAACTACTAGAAGAAAACATAGAGAAAAAGCTTGACATTGGTCTCAGCAATAATATTTTGGATATGACCCCGAAAGCACAGGCAACCCAAACAAAAATAGACAAATGGGATTGTGTCAAACTAAAAAGCTTCTGCACAGCAAAGGAAACAATCAACAGAGCAAAGAGACAACCTATGGAATGGAAGAAAATATTTGCAAACCATATATCTGTTAAGGGGTTAATATCCAAAATATATAAGGCACTCAAACAAATCAATAGCAAGAAAACAAATAACTTGAAAAAATGGACAAAAGACCTGAATAGACAGTTCACCAAAGAAGATATACAGATGGCCAACAGGTACATGAAAAGATATTCAATATCACTAATCATTAGGGAAATGCAAATCAAAACCAGAATGAGATATCACCTCACACCTTTTAGAATGCCTATTATCAAACAGACAAAAGAAAACAAGTATTGGTGAGGATATGGAGGAAAGGGAACACTTGTACATTGTTGGTTGGAATGTAAATTGGTACAACCATTATGGAAAACAGCATGGAGGTTCCTCAAAGAATTAAAATTAGAATGACCATGTGATCCAGCAACCTCACTTCTGGGTATATTTCCAAAGGAAATGAAATCAGTATCTTCAAGTGATATCTGCACTCCCATATTCATTGCAGCATTATTTACAATAGCCAAGATATGGAATCAATTTAAGTATCCACTCACAGATGAATAGATAAAGAAAACGTGGTATATATATATATACAATGGAATATTATTCAGCCATAAAAAAGAAGGAAATTCTGTCATTTGTGATATCATGGATGAACCTGGAAGACATCATGCTAAATGAAATAAGCCAGGCACAGAAAGACAAATAACTGCATGATCTCACTTATATGTGGAATCTAAAAACGTCAAACTCATGGAAGCAGAGAGTAGGATGTTCACCAGGAACAGAGAGGTGGGGGAAATGGGGAAATGTTGGTCAAAAGGTACAAAAGTTGCAGTTATAAGATGAGTAAGTCTAGAGATCTAATGTACAGCATTGTGACTATGGTTAATAATACTGTATTGAGTGCTGGAAATTTGCTAAGAGAGTATATTTCAGGTGTCATCACACATAAAAAATGGTAACTGTGTGAGGAGATGATATGTTAATTAGCTTGACTGTAGTAATCACTTCCCTATGTATATATATATCAAATCATGTCGGACACCTTAAATATATACAGTTTTTATGTAAAAAAAGACTTAGAATATGATCCCTTTTGCACTCTTTCTCCTTGTTTCATCCTCATTTGCTTCCCTCACTTCTCTCCTTTATTTCTCTGTTATCATTATGTTTCTATAGTTGTGATACGGAACTGGGATGGAATTTTTAAAGTAAACTCTTCCAGTGTTTTTCACTTTTTTTTTTGGCTCGTGAAGGAAGAATTTTAGTTTTCTCAAAAGAATTATGTACTTCCTTGATATGTTTTTCTCCCAAAAGTGAGTTTGTGACTTGTAAAAGAAATTTAAAAAGAACTTATATTTCTCCTGTAATATAAATAAACTGTGTTCATGATGTTCACATTTCTTTGTTCTATGATAGGTTGAATGTAATTTGTCAGATGAGATAGTTTTCAGGCAAGTAAGTCTTTTTTTCATTTGTTCAGAATTATAATCCTTTGTAAACCCTGCCACTGAATTTCAGTGTCTACAGAGAATGATTTGGTTCACCAAGTTCTGGTTTTTTTCTGTCCTTTATTTGTTCTAGATACATTTCATATTGCTGTTCAGTCGACAAGGGAAATTACGGCTGCAGAAATGGTACACTACGCTCCCTGACAAGGAAAGGAAAAAGATCACCCGGGAGATTGTACAGATTATTCTCTCTCGTGGCCAGAGGACAAGCAGCTTTGTTGATTGGAAGGAGCTAAAACTTGTTTATAAAAGGTGTGAGTAACTTTAGGAGAACTGAATTGCTCATTATTGCTTTGGTTTGTTGAATCCCGAACATTTTAGATTGCAACACCAATTCCATCATTTACTGAAAACTTTGAAAGCTGGAGCCCAAATATGTGTAGCAATAGACTAACTAGAAAAGAACCCTCATTTATCGAAAGGCCTTCCACGTGCCAGGATGGATTCTAGGTACTTAGTCTACACGTTGATGATGCACACAAGCATTCAAGAAATATCTTACGAGCAACTATAAAATTCCCAGCACTGTTGTAATGGCTGTGGATTCAGAAGTGAACAAGACCCAGAACATTCCTGCTCTCATGGAGCTTACTCCTTGGTTAAGCAAACAAAACATTTTCGGTTAGTAACACACACTATGGAAAAAAACGCAGGTTAATGTGATAGAGAGATGGGTAGCTCTTATCATAGTTATTATTACTCATATTTGCAGATGAGGAAACTAAAACCACAGAGGGTTTAAGTAATTAGTCGTCAGTGGCAGTAATGGAGTGATACTTGGCAGAGCCAGGATTCAAATCCGGATCTTTCTGGCTTTAAACCCTATATATTCTCTTTTTACTACACCTACTTGCCTTGGCAAGACCATACTGGAAAGGAACCCCAGTTGATAATTGAGGAAATGAGGGCCTCAAAAGGTAAAGTAATTTTGCCAATAAAGACCCAGGTAATTGATGCCCAGGGCAGCACCAGAACACAGCCGACCTGACCCTCCATCCAACATCCTACGGCAACTTCCAGAAGGAAAACGCACATTAGAAAGGCTCTTATAAGGGATGTTTACCAAACCGGAAGGGGAAAGACAGAGGTAACCTCCACAGACCGTATTTAATGGATTAAATTACCAGGAAGTGCCTGGGCAAAGCTCCTTCTGCTGGGTCCAAGATCAAAACTTTTAGTACTAGCATCCTGAGAGATGTCAGCGAGGGCCCTTTATAATAAGCATCCTAGGGAGGGAGAGGCAAAGTCCCAGGAAGTACTTGTCAACAAGAAGCTTGTCCCTACTCCCTGCCTGCTGGTTTTCTAAAAATTGTCATTTAAACCATTGTATAAAGGATAGGTTCAGCGGTTCTCTCAGTAGATTTTTACAGGTACTGGGTACACGATGGTGAACAAGGCAGACTCAGTATCTGCCTTTGGGAAGCCACTGATCTAGTGGGGGAGAGACAGGCCATGAAATGGCAGTGAAGGGCATCAGATGCTGTGATGGGGGAGGCACAGGGATGCATAGCAGGGGCATCCAATCTGCTCAGAGAGGATGAAGATTTCCTGGAGGAGATGACATCCAAGCTCAGAGCTACAGGAGAATTGGGAGTTAGCCACATGAGTGAGGATGGGGAAGAATATTTTAGGCCGAAGAAACACACAGGGGACGGGAAGACTTGACAAGCTGAGGGCAGAAGACACATCCAGAATGACTACAGTACAGTGTGAAGTGAGAAGGTGGGCACCGTGGAGCCCTGAGACCCTTGGTCAGCGGTTTGGAGTTTAGAAAGGAGTTTGCAAGCCAGGGAGGGGCCAGAGCAGGCACCTCGATTCCTGTAGGCCAAAGAACTCTGTCCCCTGAGAACAGCTCCTCAAGGTAAAGTTTTCTTTAGACCTTTCACATAAATAACAGAAATATTCCAATCACCACGGTATTTTTATGTATTCTGTTTTACATTTTGGGAGGATATTGGATGTGCTGAATAATGATTTCATCCTTGGACTTGGACGGGGAGAATCTCTGGAGGGGAGGAGGTAACTTTGCATATTCGTTGGGGAGAAACTACCTTCAGGTTGTTCAATGTGTCCTTGTGTTTTACTTTATTTTTTTCTTTTCAAGGTATGCTAGTTTATATTTTTGCTGTGCAGTAGAAAATCAAGACAATGAGCTCTTGACACTAGAGATCGTGCATCGTTATGTGGAGTTGCTGGACAAATACTTTGGAAATGTAAGTGTTGTTCTGGTCTGTTAGAATTAGTCAGTCTCCATCTCAGCTCTTACTTCGCTTCTGTCTTTCATCACATTCCTTCTCTCTCTCAAATCTAAGATATGAATTGCATTTGTACCAAGGATCAGAATACAAGGCTTTTCCAAAGATCTTTGGAAAGATCCAAAGCTTTCAGGAGTCAAGTGGTGTCTCTGTCTTCAGACCACAACCACACTAGAGACCTTGTTTCAATGAACTAGAATTAAATTGATAGTTTGTCCCTTATTCTTCATTGGCTTTGTCACCTCTCTTCTGTTTTGACTTTTTATCCCCTCTCTGGCTTCTTTTACTAAGCTACAAGTATTCTTTAATATTATTTATAGGTAAGGAAAAAACACCAAACAAAACCAAAATCCTCTTCCTTCGTTGCTAGTCCATCTCCAAGTATTTACTGCCAAGTAATAGACTATACGAGATCCCCAATCTCAGAACTCCTTCAGTCCGCAGCAGTTTAAGGCTTGGCTTCCATCTTTATTGCTCCAAGGAAATCATAAAGTTACCACTGGCCCCTTCCTAATGGTCGACACCAGCGATGCTTCTTAGATCTTCACCCGCCTTAGTCTGTCTGCAGCGCTGGATTCTTGCACATCACAACTCTCTCTTTAAATTCGCTTCTCTTGATTTTGCCACGCCACTGAGTTCTGCTGATTCTGGTCCTCGGTTTCTGGAGGACCCTCCTTGGTTTCTTCCCCTGAGTTCCCTTCCTCCGCCTGCCCTCCAAATGCCTCTGGCTTTTCATACTCCTCTTGTGTGTCTACTTGGCTTTGGATTTCCTGGAAATCCGTTACCAGATGACTCTTTGTTACTTTGTTGATGATGGTCTTTACTGGGCTTCTTATAGTCATCTCAGTCTTAATGTGACAAGAACCAAACTCATCATCTTCTGAAAACCTCTTCTGTCTTGTGATTGAGTTAATTATGTCCCAGGATCCTTCACTGCAAAAGGACAGTGTTTCTTTCATCTTTCCTCACCCTTTACTAAAATCTGCCTCTGTCTATTCAAATTGGACTAAAATTCATCTCCTTCTTCCACTTTCATGAGTGTAGGTATACATGGGATGGCAGTTTTGCTTTACTTTTAAACCTCGTCTCTGGCCCTTTCTGCCCCTGGGCTCATCTCTGCTCCCCTTCCCTGGCCTCTTAGGTACCATCTTCCTTACAAAGCATAGATCTAGGGTGACATTCCTCGTCAGTCACTTCCCATCATCTATAATTCAAACTTCTTAGCCTGGCATTTAAGCTTTCTAAATATTGGTCCTAGACCACTTCTCCAACCTTCTGGCTTTTTTCTTTATATCCCTGACATATCCAGTGCTCCCACAACACAGAACAGCCTTGACTTATCCTTAACTGGTACAGGATTTGCTTGACCACCAAATTGCAAGTCTCTCTCAAGATCATGACCTAGGATATATTTGCTTGTTTTTTCACCACGTGTAACCAGCTCTGGGACAGGTTTTAGCAAATATCCCAGAAACATTTCATCCAGTTCACAGTCACAAGAAATAAATCATTGGATTTGGAAAATGTTTTCTTCTCAGTAATGCTCTCTTCCCTGTTTCCTCACTCACTGAAGATTTTTATTAAGTGTTGTTAGGAGAATTTGCTTGCAGAAGAGTTTTCTGTGTTCAGTTTACTGGAATGAGCAGCATTTGCAGTATTGGTATGGGTTTTGTGAGATTTGTTACAACACTTTTCACAAGGATGAATACTTGAAAGGTTTCCGAACGAATTTGCCTGCCCGCTCTCTCTCCCTCCCTTTTATTCATTTTTTTTTTCCTTTATAAGTGATGTCGTTAAGACCTAAAATGTTGCTTTAGGGATTTCAGGTTGTTGGTTAGTGTAGAGAAGTACTAAGACAGCCAGACTATTTTTCTTTCTCTTTCTCCTGGCTCACCAAGTTTATTTTCATTCTTTAAACAGAGATTTGCAAATACATAATAGCATGTTTTCTAACTTGAAATTATTTAATTTTATGCTTTGTATTATTCAAATGAATTCTGACATTTTGGTACTTTCTTTTGCAATAATATACTGCAGACTTTCCCTTTTACAAAGGCTGGAAGGAGTGTTCCTGAGGTCCAAGACCCAGGCTTTCCCACAACCTGCCTCCCCCCGCTCATTTCCACACTCGGATTTGACCTGTTGTGTTTTCCTAGATTGATCCAACTGTGATAACGTGAATTGGGGTTGAATTTCGATCTCAATCTTAGCTTACCAAATTTCAGAACACGTTGCTTTCTCGAGAGAATTTGAATCACCTTCACCAGTGCTAAGCCCAGTTAAAGTATAAGGAGAATCAGAATGAATTCCTATTTCTCTAACATTAATTTTTCATCCTATTTTGGCATACCTTTAGAAGCTCTGTCTTTGTCATGAACCAAAATTTAATTCACTAAAAAATTCAATGCATCTTTCATTAAGCTAAGAGCAGCTAAGAGCAATTCAAGGCTATATGCCCAGTAGGTGTTCAGTTCTTATTAATTAACAGTGATGAGCAAAGCTTACTGCTCCTAATTCTCGTTGACATGATCTCAGGAATAATATATTTCTCTTTGGCTTTCTTTTCCTCTTCTGTTGATACTGAAGGTTTCCTTATATTATCCAAGAGAAAACTTTGTGCCAAGTGTCTCTTATAACATTGGAAAATATTGCCTTCCTATGACAGATAAATCAAAATCTCTGGCTACTAATTTAAGTTATGTATTTTCTTTAGCACTTTTCAATTCCAAGGAGATTTACAAGGATAAACTAGTTAATCTTTCGATCTTCAGTAAGTAGCATTAACCCCAATTTATAGAGGCTCAGAGGAAATGCCTCCAAGTCGCACAGTAGATAAGCGTCTTTTTTGAGGATTAGACGCTGGCCATATTTTCCCATTACAGACTGTCGCATGAGTTTTTACTGATGCACTTGGAGGCTGTGGGTGTTGCTGTCTCAGAGAGGTTTGATCTTGATGGAGGGAATTTTCTTGTAAGAGGAGGAGCACTCTGAGTCCTGCTGGATCCTGGTGTCAGCTCGCTCAATAACCAGAGTCATGATTTGGCCCATGGTATATACCTCTATTTTCAGATAAGGAAAATGACACTCAAAAAGGTTAATAGAAACATTTACTTTGCTAATCTCAGGGGGCTGCTGTGAGGGTCCAAGAGATAGTGTAATTAACAATACTTTATAAATTGTCAATTGCTATGGAGTTGTACCTTACATGTCATTATTATTTTAGATATAGTTTTATAAATTTACTGTCTATAACTTGAAACTTTTTGTATTTTCTTTAGAACAGAATTCACTAAGGGAAGGTCCTCCTTAGACTCTATCCAAAAGGCTTTAGTTATTGAAATGTCAGAAATATGGGCCGGCCCGGTGGCTTAGCAGTTAAGTGCGCGCACTCTGCTACTGGCGGCCCGGGTTCAGATCCTGGCCGCGCACCGATGCACCGCTTCTCCGGCCATGCTGAGGCCGCGTCCCACATACAGCAACTAGAAGGATGTGCAACTATGACATACAACTATCTACTGGGGCTTTGGGGGAAAAAAGGAGGAGGATTGGCAATAGATGTTAGCTCAGAGCCGGTCTTCCTCAGCAAAAAGAGGATTAGCACAAATGTTAGCTCAGGGCTGATCTTCCTCACAAAAAAAAAAAAAATGTCAGAAATAATCTCACTATATCACATATTCTGCCATAAGAGGAGACCCTCAAGCCAAATTATAGTACAGCACAAGGCTAGGAGATCAAAGATAAAGTTATCACTGTTCCTGCCTTTTATAAGCTTTCTTCCAGAAAATAGAAACATGCTAAAATGAAAAAAAAAAAAAAAAAAGTAGAGGCTCATGTTTATTAACATGGAAGCCATATGTTTTTGCATAATTAGATGGAGTTCAGTCATTGGAGCATCAAGGGCATATTTCTGATGTGCTGGGATAGCTTCCTTGAGGTGGAATTAGAAGTATTTGAGTAATTCACCTTTAGCTGAAGAAACCTACATTTGGTCTAAGGTTCTCCTGAGATGTTTTCTCTTCTTACTCTCAGATACAGTAACCCCTTGGGGTCAGACTTAAAGAATAACCATAGAGTAGCATTTTGGACATCCTGTGTATGAAATAGTTGCTCATTGGTAATATTCTCTATGATGCCAATAGAACTTGTGCATCCATTTCTCTTATGATCTAGAGAGAGTAACTGTATATCCACATTGGGGGTGTGTGTGTGTGTGTGTGTGTGTTTTGTGCGTATCTGACTTGGCATACCACCTTACCTTATCCCCATCCCTTGAAATTAGGTGCAATAAATTAATTGCCCCATGGCTGCTGGCGAGCCCTGCAGGCTTGGGGATGGGTTGCTGCTCTGAGCGTGGGGTATGCAAAGTTCCCAGAGAACTTGTGTTAGTATCTGTCAGGTTCAATTTGCAGGATTCTGATTGCCGCTTTCTCGTAATGAGGCTGCTGTTTCTCTTGGATTCCTGGTCTACACCTGCCTTGAACTCTGAGGTTCCTCAGCTCTTGTAACTCCCGACTTCCTGCCTCTTCTGACGTCTGGTAACTGCTTACTTCTCCTACCTCCTTACATGTGCATGGATATCTGATCTACTGTGCTTTCTTTTTGTGTATTTATATTGTTTAAAATTTATGAATAATGTATATTTTTTACGTAGCCTTCTAGACATATATAGTTTTTTTTAAAAATGGGGTTGCATTATGCATATTATTCTGCCACGTTTTTTCCCCTTACAAGTCTGTCTTGGAGCTGTTTCCATGTCTATCCGTGGAAATCGACCTTATTCTTTCCAACTTCTATATAGAATTCCCATGGTATACCATACCATACCCAAGGAGGGTATATCATACTTTACTTAAACAATTCCCTTATGGATGGATTTTGGGTTGTTTCCAATTTTTATTATAAGTGATACCGCCGTAATCTTTGTTGTTCATGTATATTATTGTGCACTAGTTTCAGTATAGCATAAAAATAAATTCCTTGTGGAATTATTGGGTCAAAGGATTTGTACATTTAAAATTGATAGATACTACAATTTGACCCTTCCAAATGGCCTATAAAATTTACAGATTCCACCAACAATGAAGGTGAGTACCTGTTTATCCATACTCTCACCAGCACTGGATATTATCTCTTTTTCTTAATTTCAATTTTTATTAAAAAAAATTTTTTAATGAATTTATTCGTTGCCAGGGGACTCCAACTACTTTCACATGCTTGCAGCATGTTCAGGAAAAGCAGCCCTGGCGACAGCAGGGTCCCTCCTGAGTGCAGCCTCTGAAGCCCCCAAGCCTGGACTGAGGGGGTCAGAACTAAACGGAGACTCCTTCCTGGGGTGGTAGTTTCTCCGAAGAGACCCCCACCGGCCCTCAGAGCACCTCAGGGACACAGCAGATATTCTCTCTTCTTAATTGTCAGATGAACATTAATTTAATTTGCATTTCCCTGATTACTAGTGAGGCTGTACATCTTATTAGACATGTATTTTGGCCTTTTCCATTTCTTGCCTTGTCTACAAAGTGCTTCTTGACAGGCTTTGCGGTCATGTGTTGCTTAGCAACGGGGATACGTTCTGAGAAATGCATCCTTAGGTGATTTCGTTGTTGTGTGAACATCATAGAGCGAACTTACACAAACCTAGATGGTATAGCCTACTACACACCTAGGCTGTGTGGTACTAATCTTATGAGACCACCATCGTGTATGCAGTCGGCCATTGACTGAAACGTTGTTATGCAGTGCATGACTGTATGACTGTATTTGTTTTTTATATTGTAATGTTTATCTTAGGGATTTGCAAGAATTCTTTCTGTATCATGGATAATATCCTTTCCTCCCTGTTGTATATGTTGCAAATATTATCCCCACTCTGCTGCTGTACTGTTAATCTTGTTTATAGTGCCTGGCCCACACTGTACTCTGATCTCTCCACATTTTTCCCTGGGGAGCCTGACTCCCCCGTCATTCCAATTCCTGGAATGAGAGTGTTCTAGAAGTAAAAGAGAGCATTCATAAGCTGAGAACATGCCCTTTTATGATGCCATCCTCTCTCTGATGGTTGTTCTCAAGAGGGAGCCCTAAAGGTCTGGGCAAGTCCTGGGTTATAGTGTCATGTCCCAGTGAATAGACTCTTTTATTTTAAATGGGTCATATATGTATATGCATGTATGTATGTATATACCTACATATATGTAGACATATATATACTTATATATATACACTCACATGTATAGAGAGAGGGAGAGGCTCTCGATGGAGAGGGGAGATAGATGTAGATATATGCACACTTTTGATTTGGTGCTGTTTCCTAATGAATGAAGAGACTGTAACCTTTACAGATGAGTTTGATGAGTTTTTCTGAGCTGGTCATTTATTATAGTGGTATTGTATTCATTTATTCTTATGCTTCTAGATTCAATTGGATCTGTCAACATAAACCATTTTCCTTGTGGAGTCTGCAAATTTAGTGACCTAAATCCTAAATATATGGAGCAATTTGCTAAAATATTGACATATCCATTTTATGCAAAGTCATAGCATTCAATAGGATCAGAGAATTGTTGATCTGTGAAGCCATTAATCCCCAGCATCATAGAAGGGAGGCCTACATGGTGGCTGACTCATTCATTTATCCTGCAAACATTTATTGTGTCCTACTATGTCCCAGATCCCAGGGATATAAAGATGACTACGACAAGGTCTGTGCCTGAGCTTACAGTACCGGGTGCGTGAGGGATAAGTCAGCATATACTAGTGCACACGGGCGTGTACTAGTGCATACAAGCGTGTACTAGGGCACACAGGCGTGTACTAGTGCACATACTGAATAGGAAAAGAGAGGATTGGGGAAAACACTGTGCCCCATGACTTTTGAATTTGGCCTTGAAAAATGAGCTTGATTTTGCCAGCGGAATAAAAGAAAGGACATTTGAGGAACATTCCAGGAACTGCCGGAATGTGCAAAGGGCAAAGGCATGAAAGAACACGGTGAAGTTGAGGAATGTGTGTCTGTAGGGTGCGGTGAGAGCTGGCACAGGAAGCCAGAGAGCAGCACCGGGCTGGGTTGTACAGAGTCCTATATGCCATGCTGAGGAATTAAAACTTTGTCCTGAACATCAGACCTTACGCAGCAGAGGAACATTTTAGCAAAGTGTTGGTGGTCATTGGCCTTGAGCAGGTGCAGACACCACCTAGAAGGTCATCGCAGCGGCCTAAGTGAGATGTTGCAGGCCTGAGCAGCGCAGTGACGATGGAGAAGAGGGGAAGGGTTAGGGGTTTATTTACATGATGGAATCAACAGGAAATGGTGACCAGATTGAGAGGGACAGACCACAGGAGGAGGGGGAATGAGGGGGAGGGGGAAAATGAGTTGAATTTTAGAATGAATTAGACCTAACCACTAGATGGAGGTTGCAACCACTACATAGAGGTTGCAGCTACTGGGCAAAATAGGGGCCAAAGGGAAAAGAATATGCTTGACTTCGGTTTGGGACGTGGTGACTTGGACTGAGGAATACCCAGAGATATCTGCTTAGTAGGTGATAATATTGGACTAGCGTTCCAGATGGAGATCAGGGCTAGACATCTAGGTGTGTTAAGTCACCTGCATGCTAGATACAGCTGTAGAGAGTCAAAGGGACTGTCTAGCAGAATATGTGTATTACAAAGTGAAAAGGTTCTCCTGAGAAACACCAATGTTTAAGAAGGAGATGGACGTCGAGAACATCAGCAGCATGCGGCAGAGGTGTTTGGCTGATGGATATGTCCCAAGCGCTCCGTAAATACTTCTTGAATGAACGCAAGGTAGGGGGAGATAAGTCATCCAAGGAGTCTGAGAAGGAATCACGAGAGATGGAGAAGAATAGGCATTGAATGGTGTTGCCAAAGGCAGGGAGTAAGGGGGAGGAGATTTTCCAGAAAGAGATTGGTGAAGAGTGTCCAGTGCTGCCAAGAGGTCAAGGTGGGGAAGACTGAAGTCTTTCAATTAGCAGACCTTCAAGAATGTATAAAAGGGAAAGTTAGGTGTCAGTCAGCTGACGAATGAGTGGGAAGGGAAACAGCAAGGATAATGCCTGAGTGGCTGCTGTCTGGTTGAAGAATTGGAAATGAGCCTTATTTGGGTTATGGGGGGTGGTCTTGCCACTTGCTGCACTTAAGCAACAAAATCTATCAGACTCTGCTGTGGTCCATGACAGTGATGAGGGTTCTCAATGTGTGGTCCCCAGACCAGCATCATTAGCCTCACCTGGGAGCTGGATAGAAGTTCATGCTCTCGGGCCTCACCCAGACCGCCTGGATCAGAAATGAGCCTTCTAGGTGATTCTGATACACTCTGAAGTTTGAGAACCACTGGCTTATGACATGGTTTTGAGAAAAATTAGCACAGTTGAGCTCATTTGCCTCTGAAGAGTGAGCTTCTGAGAGTCCTAAAGCTAGGAGCCAAGATTTACAGATCAGAGAGCAGGAGAGAGGATGTGCTGCCCTTGTAGCTGAAATGCAGCTGAGGCTTCGCTTTCATTGGTGTAGACGATGAGCTGAGCTGCTTCTCTCCTCTGAGTCTCGAATTTCTGGTTGCAACGTAAAATAGTATCATCTAAGGACATGCTCTGCTATAATAGAATGTGGTTTTACTTTTATTAAAAGCCTGGAATTCCCTAGTTCTATTTTTCTGTCCTTAAAATACCATCTGATATTTTTGTCTTTGGTGTGCCACATGGGTGTGACTGTTGACAAGCTTGAGACACTGGCACAGGTTTCCCCTGATACTTCTGATGAACGTTTGTTCTTTTGTCCTACCAGGTCTGCGAGCTGGATATTATCTTTAATTTCGAAAAGGCTTATTTTATCCTGGACGAGTTTATCATAGGTGGAGAAATTCAGGAAACATCCAAGAAATCCGCTGTCAAAGCCATTGAAGATTCTGATATGTTACAGGAGGTGAGTACGCAGTTTCTCATGCCACAGGAAAAGATGGCACTGCTGCTGATGGCAATTATAGATTAGCCGACACTTATTGAGTGCTGACTCTGTGCCGGGTACGGTTTTCTTTTTTTTTGGTGAGGAAGATCAGCCCTGAGCTAACATCCATGCCAATCCTCCTCTTTTTGCTGAGGAAGACCAGCTCTGAGCTAACATCTATTGCCAATCCTCCTCCTCCCCGCCCCCCCAAAGCCCCAGTAGATAGTTGTATGTCATAGCTGCACATCCTTCTAGTTGCTGTATGTGGGACGCGGCCTCAGCATGGCAGGAGAAGCCGTATGTTGGTGCACGCCCGGGATCTGAACCCGGGCCGCCAGTAGCGGAGCGTGCGCACTTAACTGCTAAGCCACGGGGCCGGCCCCCGGGTACAGTTTCTAAGCAACTTACGTGTTTTAACTTTTTTAATTGTTACAATCACTCTAAGAGGTAGGTAGTCTTTTTACCCTCATTTTAAAGATGAGTAGGGTCTGGCCCCATGGTGTAGTGGTTAAGTTCAGTGTGCTCTGCTTTGGTGGCCCAGATTCGTGGCTTCAGGTCCCAGATGCAGACCTACACACCACTCATCAGCCATGCTGTGGCGGCGACCCACATACAAAATAGAGGAAGACTGGCACAGATGTTAGCTCAGGGTGAATCTTCCTCACCAAAAAAAAAAAAAAGAGTAAACTGAGACACAGAGGCGTTAAGTGACCTGCTCAATGTCACACAGCTGGTAGCTGTGGAATAGAGATTTGAACCCAGGCAGTTGGGCTCCAGAGTCTTTGCTCTTCAAGTTTGGCTGAGCATTTTAGTGAGGATACCTCACTGTCAAGAAGGTATCAAAAGCTTGGTGCTATTCTTTTCAAGAATCATTTTATGAGAGGTATAAAAAGACTCATTAAAATATCTGTGCCACCCTGGGTAAGGAGAATAGCAGTCCATCGTTATTTCATTAGAGCTTTATTATTATTTTTTTTTTTTTAAAGATTTTATTTATTTATTTTTCCCCCAAAGCCCCAGTACATAGTTGTCTGTCATAGCTGCACATCCTTCTAGTTGCTGTATGTGGGATGCGGCCTCAGCATGGCTGGAGGAGTGGTGCCTCGGTGCGCACCCGGGATCCGAACCCGGGCCGCCGGCAGCGGAGCGCACGCACTTAACCGCTAAGCCACGGGGCCGGCCCCTAGAGCTTTATTATTGAAGTTGGCATTTATCATTTTAATTAAAATTTCTTATACCTCCTGGGGAGGCTGTGTGTGCGCTCCTACTCGCATAAATAAATTGGGAATACTGGTGCCTTCCTTGCCAAGGTTTAAATGGGCCCTGAAGTGTCCATTTGGTCGTGCTCCTGACTCTGTGATATTTATATAAAGTACAGTGGGACTTTTAGAGGCAGCCCAGATTTGCATGGTACCTCATAAAGGAACTTGCCTCCATTGGCCCCTCCCAAGGATGCTGTGAGAAAGAGTGCTTCACCCCACTGCCCTTTGCCCTCCGAAATGAGAATCCCACCAGCCCCAGCTCAAGTGTGCATTTGAGGGCCTGGGTTCCGTCCCAGCTCTGCTGCCTCTAAGTGCTTCCTCCCACGGCATCGGTGAGTCCTTCCACCTTCTTATTTTCATAACAGCAAGTCAAGAGATTCTAGAGCATTATAAAGTCTCCTTTAAACATTGGCATTGAAGCCATTCTTCTTGCTGTTTGGAAATAAGAGACTGATTAAGTTAATAAAACAACATTAGGCATGATTTCCCAGCAACGATTTTGGCACATTCTTGAGCTGATTACTTGCTCTTGCCCATCTAAGGAGCCAGTCCTGAGGTGAACCGCCACTGAGAAAGTTGTCTGTTTGAGTGGGAACCCATCAGCCTCCGAGTGCGCCTGTTAGGAGGCTGGTCCAGTTATTACAAGACGTGTTCTCACCTCAAAAAATGTATTTAATCTCTCTGATGTTTACTTGGCTCTCTCCAAATGCCACAGGAAGGGAATTTTCAAGGCAGTTGAGAAATCAGTGGTCTGGAAATTCCACAAGACAACCTTTCTTTAAATATGCCAGAATTATTTATAATTCTATCCTCAGGGCCCTTACTGTGGAATCTCCTTAGAGGAGAAAGAGACTTTTCACAGGGTCTTTGGCACTTCAGTAATTAAAGCTCCTTGACTTGGGGCCAAGACACACCTGGGTTCTTTTGACTTCTCCCTCCACCCCTCCCAGAAGGCAAGAGTTTTAAAGAGCTTGTAGTGTATCTGGTGCTTCTAGGTCCATTTAATCTGGGAAGCAGGTATTTCGAGTAGAGCCTTTCACGAGTAAACACTAATTGTTAGTTTATATCCCTGATGATTGAGTGGAAGGTCTTGATGGGTGGGTCTCAGGGGACCCTCCATTTAGCCCCTGTGTCCCCATGGTGAGCAGGCAATCTCATGACCGCCCTCTACATCTCTCTTGTTGAATTAACAGCAACTACCACATAGGGACAGTGTTATCAGTGGTCTGTGGGGCTCTGGTACTTGAGCTGAATCAATGAACAAGTGGGGAGCTGGTTGAAAAATTGATTTTGTATATCTGGTCTGCTTGTATATCCGGTCAGAGAAGTTTGGAATGAATAGGCGGAAGTAATATAATTGCATGAATAAAAAAAAGTACTGCTTTCTTTTTTTTTCTCTTCTTTGGAGCCAAGCACATATTTGTGGTTACTAAAGGTTAAGGCAGGCCTTTGTAACATTGCTTTCACTTTTAGCACCGCTAAAAACCTTGAAGTAGCCCCTGGGACTTTCTTCTTACCCCTCCCTAATAAAAGTTTCTTAGAATAAAAGGCTGCCTGCACATATTTAGTAAGAAGATATGTAGTCTCAAATCTCAAAATGCTCAAAGCTTATTCTGAGTGTACTAAGGCTAGACACTGATGATGTGGAAAGAAAGGAACAGTTTAATTGGTTGGGGATGACTTGAGGAAACACTTGTCTTGTGGGTAACAACTAAGACCTGTGGACCATGGTGCAAAGTGGTTAGAAGGAAAAAGAAACTCTTAAAGGAGAAGATAGTGATTATTAACTGCAGAGGTTGCAATTCCTGAGATCACCAGTGGGGGCGACAAACAAAAGATGTTTTGACCACAGAATTAGAAAGCAAGTTAAGAAGGGAGGGTCGAATGGTACCTCATTAGCTCAAGCAATAGGTATATGTGTAGATTCAGGAGAAATAGCTAGGTACATTCCAACACTGTCACCCTTAAAAGCATAAACATAACAGCTAAGCCAAACCATAATGCGGTAAAAAGTCGAAGCATGTACAGTGCCGAAGGCACGAGAAACACTGCAGTGCAAGATGGATGACAGGAGAGATCCCAAGATACAGATTCTAGTCCTCCTGTGAAAGGCCAGGGAAGAGCTCTTTAAGGTTGCACCAGCCTTAAAGAGTCTGTTCCAACCTTTAAGGTGGCAAGCTCAAGGAAATACCAACCTCATATGTTATTGGATGATGTAATTTGAGTAATAGCACAGCGCAGAAAGGGCAGCCAGTGTAGTCTTCAGCAGATTGAGTTAGCCAGTGGGGTGAAGCAGTGCCCATAACCAGAGACCAATGAACCGTGAGGCCACTGAAGTGACAACTCAGCGCCTTTGTTGGCCCAGGCCCCTTCAAGGCTGCAGGAAGGGCCTAGCAATGCCCCCATAAGGTCAAATTTGCAAAAGTGAGATATCTTAACGTCAAAGAATATGTAGCCATACAATGAATGTAAGATATGATAGAGGTGTGTCAGGCACTTAATGAATGAAAACCATATGCCATTGTTCTGGATCTTGTGATATTTGTCATCTTTCAAAAACTTGTAATCTACTGTCATTTCTTTTCTCATTCTAAATAAACTTGATACCCAATTTTGTATTTGTAACTTTGTGTTCCTTTTTCAATGGTATAAAACTCTAGGCACCACAGAACAAGCATAGGCCCCTGGCTGGTATGATACCCCCACTAAGTTTAAAGACATGGGCCGCCTCTGTAAGAGGAAATACAGGGTGGAGGTCTTAGATTGTGGGCCTCTCTTGGCCAATATTCATCTAGGAGGTGTAGGAGCTTTATAAGAAAGTGTGGATGACTGGGCACAAATATTTTCAGCAGAGAAAACTGGAACTCTAAATAGAGCTGGTGGAAACCAGTTAGAACACGTGATTTCTTCTTTTTTTTTTTCATTTTTCCTGTGAATTTCTTTTTTAATTGAGGTAACTGGTTTACAACATTATATAAATTTCAGGTGTATGTCATTGTATTTTGATTTCTGTGTAGATTACATCATGTTCACCACCCAATGACTAATTATACTCCATCACCACACACATGTGCCTAATCACCCATTTTGCCTCCTCCCTCCCCCCTTCCCCTTTGCTAACCACCAATCCAATCTCTGCCTCTCTGTATTTGTTTGTTGTTGTTTTTATCTTCTATTTATGAGTGAGATCATACAGTATTTGACTTTCTCCCTCTGACTTATTTTGCTCAGCGTAATACCCTCAAGGTCCATCCATGTTGTCGTAAATAGCAAGATTTCATCTTTTTTATGGCTGAGTAGTATTCCACTGTGTATATATACCACATCTTCTTTAGCCATTTGTCCCTCGATGTGCAGCTAGGTTGCTTTCAAGTCTTGGCTATTGTGAATAATGTCACAGTGAACACAGGGGTGCATATATCTTTATGAATTCGTGTTTTCATGTTCTTTGAATAAATACCCAGCAGTGGAATAGCTGGATTGTATGGTGGTTCTAGTCTTTATTTTTTGAGGAATCTCCATACTGTTTTCGATAGTGGCTGCATCAGTTTGCATTCCCACCAGCAGTGTATGAGAGTTCCCTTTTCTCCATATCCTCTCCAACACTTAGAACTCCTGATTTCTAACCATCGTGTCCCCTGAGCAATCTTTCTTGGCCATGGCCTGGGTCTGTTTGGCCACTGGTGGATGTCTTCCCTGGCAGATGCAAGTGAATCAGGTATCCTGGGATTCAGGTTTAAGAACAGATTGAGCATTGCTAATTGAGCTGACTGTGACGGGCATGGAAGAGGCAGGGTGTTACCTAAGGCTGGCCCCTTGAGCTCTCTTATTGACTCATCCTAGGGGCCACAGTGTCACACAAACATATATGTTTATAATTAGAGAGCGTGTAAGAGAAAGTCCATTTATCAGGCACGGTAAAGGGCTTGCAACATCACTGTAACTTTTAACTCTGCCTGTAGTTGTGAATCCAGTCAAACATTTAAAAAGAAGTGGTGGAAAAAAATTATGGCCTTATGGCATGTTAGCAAACTTGGTAACCGATGAGGAGGATGAAGAAACGTAATTTGTATACTTTGGGGGAAAGCCTTTTCAAACTACATGTTTATCCTTTATATCTTGGCAATAATGTAAATAAAGTGTTGTGCACATTATCTGTAGCAATACCTATATTACACAAATACAATTCAGATTGCTCTAATACATGCACCTGGAGGTGATCCTCATGACTATTTTAGCAGACATATTTATCTGAAGTCAGCAGTGATATCTTGGCGGCTGTTGCTTTATCATTTCTCTTATCTGATGTTCATTTTACGATCAAGTTTAGTTTCTTCTCAGTTGAAAGTTATCTAGTTCCAGCCATTTGGATGTGTATACAAATTATACTCAAACTTTGAACCATCATTCTTATTAGAATAAAAGATTTATGTCCATACATACTTTCAAAACCTTCTTTTCAATAAAGGCAAAAAAAAAAAAAATAAAAGAATGAAAAGGTTTCACAGTCAGCTAAAGGATGTAGCTTAAGGGAAAATTGTTCTAATTTATTGTTCTCTTTCAGACAATGGCGGAATACATGAACAAGCCTACCTTTTAACTGTACATCTACTTGAAGACTCCAAGTGCTACGTGTTGTGAACTTGTAAATAAGCAGTACCTTGTGTCCAATTATTTGACAGAGCCACTGGCACCATGCCAAAAAAAACTTAAAAGGGATTCTTTGTTAACTAGGAAAAATGAAAGTTGTTCAATATAATATATTTATCATTATTACATGTCTGTATTATACTGTATATGACTACGTATTGTAGCTCTAGATGTTAAAATAGCTCAATAAACTGAATATTTGTTTGCTATGTTTTAACTCCAGGTGATATTTTTGAGCTAATTTAAATAAATTTGTTGCAGTATGTTTTTGTTGCATTTTAATCCTCTGTTGACAGGCTGACAACTGTATTGCAATAATCCGTGATTTTGAATGTAAAGTATGTCTTGTATCAATAATACTTTTTCTAAATGTTTAGCTTTGTAAATTGTATAATAATTCAAAATTATGTTAATAGTTCAGAGTTCATATGTAATGCTAGACATTTTTAATACACTTAATAATACTGTAATTTCAGTCCAGATACAATGTATCTGATTTTAATGTCCTGAATTCATTTATTTTTTTCAGGATTGGAATTAAGGAAAATAACCAAAGATAGGATAGGACTTGTGGGGTTTTTTTTTGTGTGTGTGTGTGAGGAAGATTGGCCCTGAGCTAACATCTGTGCCAATCTTTCACTACTTTATATGTGGGATGCCACCGCAGCATGGCTTGATGAGTGGTGCATAGGTCCATAGCTGGGATCCGAACCAGCGAACCCTGGGCCACTGAAGTGGAGTGTGTGAACTTAACCATTACGCCACCAGGCTGGCCCCAGGACTTAAGTGTTTTTGATGCTTGGGAAACCAGTATTCAGGCTGAATTTTTTTTTTTCTCCTCCCCTAAGCCCCAGTATATAGTTACATAATCTAGTTGTAGGTCCTTCTAGTTCTTCTATGTGAGCCGCCACCATAGCATGGCTACTGACAGACAAGTAGTGTCATTCGGTACCTGGAGACGAACCCGGGCCACTGAAGTGGAGTGCACTGAACTTTAACTGCTAGGCCATCAGGGCTGGCTCCTAGCCTGAGTTTTTAATTTTACCTTTTAATTGAATATAAGGGGCATTCCAGTAAGGTCACGTTTTCTACAAACTCTAGGTATTTATTAAGGTTTTGAGATATCTGGAGATACAGTGTCTATGACTTTCCTTGTTATAAAAGTAGGATAATAAAGATTAATGACAATAGCAATAATTATTATTACTACTGCTATTTTCATAATCTTTATGTTTCAAGTACTTTTAGTTGCTTGAGAGATTTTGTTTCAAATGTTTTAATGTATATCTAATATATTTGAAGACATTGTTTATTAGGCTTACTTAGAATGTTTAATTTTATTGCAGCCTATATGATAGATGCCTTCTTCCTTTTTTCTTCCTTACTCTCCCAAAGGAAATATTTGCTGTTGACCATTATTATTGTGAATATGTTGCATTCAAGCTTCCGGGAATGAAGGTTCTATGTAACCAGGTTGTACATGTGATCAGACATATTATAGGAAGTAACTCATGATAGTCTGTCTTGGTGCCCCACTTTTGATGTCTTGTCTGTGCACGTTCAGTGTTAGTTTTGAGGTGTAGTATCATTCATGTTAGAGTGGTTAGAGACCTTCTAGTGCTTTTCCTAAGAGAAGAGGGTGCTTGCTGTTGGATTCCCTAGGAACCCCATAGGATAGACTTTCAGAGAACATGAAGGAAAAATGTCCTCTTAGATTCATCTTCCAAACATATTTAGGGAAAAATAGCAAGACAAGAGCAGAAGAACAAAAGGAAAAATTGGCCAATTCCTCAATGTAACCATTACTAAAAGGAAATAACTCAGATTAGTATATGGAGTCATTGTTGGGCTTTTAATATCTAATATTTCCTCAGATTAATCATATAATTATAATTATGGCATCAGATTGAAGTTTATCATTTTTGATTGCTTTGTTTACTTTAGGTCTTCTTCAGTTTTGTGTTTAGTTTTTTTTTTTTTAATATGTTAGAACTCTTTATTTTTACAAACAAGTTTGTAAAGATAGACTTTATGTAAATCCATCAAAAATTTTCTGGTTCTTTTGAAGTTTTCCACCATTTTTGGATGAAGATATTTATTGAAACTCGTTCAAATGTAGAATGCGTATTCTGGGGAATTCCATGTCAGACACTTTCTAGCTATAGACAGTGCTTCTCAGCCTTCACATCAGCATCACACATAGAAAAATGAACATAACGATGTGGCACACTGGGGTAAATTCGAGGGATTTTGGTGACATCTTACATGAAAGATGAATCGGTGAAAATAATTATTATGTTTATATTATATACTTATAATAAAATTAACAGGTGAAAGAAAAGATAATAAATATTTAATTTGTATACAACTTCCAAATAAAGTATTTTTAAATTTTTTAATGAGGAACTTGAGTGTGATTTTATGAATATAGTTTTTTTTTTTTAAAAAGTCAGATGATGTGCTTGAAATTGCTACCCATAATTCCTGGTGAAGTCCCTTTCATATGACCTCTTCATTTTCTTGGTACTTACCAGCAAGGAGAAACTTCACAAGTAGGTGACAGCGAATGAGAGAAGAGTATTTATTGCTTTGATCCTATTGACTTTTCGTCATTCACCCACATTTTTATAATCTGATATTTTTACATGTAGTTAATGATGTGATCATTCTTTAAATCTAGTAACTCCTTTTCTTTCATTAACAAATGTGACATTGACATTTCTTGGCAAATCAAATGAATTTTTATTTTGAACTTTTTTCCATATCAAGTCTCCTAAAATAATGATAAAGCTTTCCATAAAACATACACAGATGTTGTTCTTCTAAACCTAATGATTCTGCTTTAGGATTCATAACATAATACCTCTGAAACCTCACTGGTGACCTGGGTTTAACTTTACTTAATGGTTTAAGGGTTTAAATACATAAAGATTTAATCAATAATTTTTATTGGACAATGTTAATGTATTTTTTCACGTGGTCCTTGCAATTTTGGATTAAGTTCAATCAGATGCTCTGGCGTGTAAGAAAAGCAAGCCAACGACTATTTTTCAGTAATCTGCAAAGGGAGGGTCATTAAAATTTTTTCAATTCTTATTTTAACTCTTGGCAAACTCTTGAAAAAACTCTGCTCATAGACTATGTACTTTGATATTAAATGATAATCTTTTTTATGGCTGAATAGTATTCCATTGTGTATATATACCACATCTTCTTTATCCGTTCATCCATTGATGGTCACTTAGGTTGTTTCCAAGTCTTGGCTATTGTGAATAATGTTGCAATGAACACAAGGGTACATACATCTTTATGCATTAGTGTTTTCATGTTCTTTGGATAAATACCCAGCAGTGGAATAGCTGGATAATATGGTAGTTCTATTCTTAATTTTTTGAGGGCTCTCCATACTGTTTTCCATAGTGGCTGCACCAGTTTACATTCCCACCAGCAGTGTCTGAGAGTTCTCTTTTCTCCACGTCCTCTCTAACACTTGTTTTTTCTTGTTACTAGCTATAAAAAAAGATGAAATCTTGCCATTTGCGACAACATGGATGGACCTCGAGGGTATTATGCTAAGCAAAATAAGCCACACGGAGAAAGTCAAATACTGTATGATTTCACAGAAGATAAAAACAACAACGACAACAACAAACAAACACATAGATACAGAGATTAGATTGGTGGTTACCAGATGGGAAGGGGGGATGCGAAAGGGGTGATAGGGCATATGTGTACAGTGATGGATGGCAATTCGTCTTTGGGTGGTGAATGTAAAAGGGTAGTCTACACAGAAATCAAAATATAGTGATGTGCACCTGAAATTTATATAATGTTGTAAACCAATGTTATCTCAATTAAAAAATACATTGAAAAAAAAAAAACCAACAGGGCCAGCTCCGGTGGCCTAGTGGTTAAGTTCAGCTCGCTCCACTTCGGTGGCCCAGGTTCCGTTCCTACACCACTCTTAGCGGCTATGCTGCTCTGAGATGCCCACATACTAAAAAATAGAGGAAGAGTGGCACGGATGTTAGCTCAAGGCGAATTTTCCTCATGAAAAAACCCCCAAAAACCAATGATATTCTATTTTGTCACATAAAATTAAAAACAGAAAGTACTAACAGCTAGGGCTGTATTAGATTCACTTTTTGATAGTACTACTTCATACAAGATTCAGGCCTACAGATAACTTTTACTTTTGATCAATTCTTTGTGAATAAACTCACATATTAACTGACTCTCAAGGTTTTCACCTTGTGTTTGTGCCATCAGTACATAACTTTGCAGTGTTTCCATCATAACTTATTTGTTTCAAAATGTTAATTTACTGTTTTGTTAACTAGTTTTTTTGCTTCTTTACAGAATAAATGCTCTAAGCATTTCTCTTCTGGGCTTAACAGCATAGTTCCTAACAAGAGTAAATTAATCTGAGATGATACCTTTATGATTTGACTGTCTTCTAGATTAGAATGATTTCTATGTCTTTGACATGTCCTTTATCTGTTTACTAAGAGTGTAATTCAAAATGGCACTTCTTCTCGTTCCCTTGGAAAATGTTGAGAGTTTCCATGGAGGCTGATAAATGAGCAGTTGTGTGAGTTGTGTGGGCTTTTTTATTTTTAGCATGACCTTATAACTAGCTTTATGAGTAACACCTGATATTGTTATAAGAGAACTTATAAGAGAACTTTACTTATTAAACATGTAATTGTACGTGTTTAAAATGTTAATCTTGTTGTAAAATGGATGTTTAGTAGAAATATGCCAGCATAATTTACTTGATAATATTTTGAAGTAAATAATACATTTAGGCTGAAGAAAAGGAAGAATTATGTGGACACTTGGTTCCAAATGTGAGATAATCTTCATACTGCTTCAATACTGATTTAAGCTTTTTTTCTTCTTTTTTAATATTTTTTGGAGGAGGAGAAATCTGTTGAATTTGTGAATCCTCCAGTTTTAATAAAATTTTTCCACTATCATGGAAAAATAGATATCTGAGAAATTTAAGATGATATAAATGTGAAGAATAAAGAACTAATGGAGTTGCAGGGGTTTGTGATCAGAAAATTAAGTTTTAAAAAATAATTTAGGTCATTTTCATTTCTTAGAAAGGTAGAAAAATAAATTGAAAAATTAATAAAAATATGATTTTGAAAATGCAGTCAAAAATTGAAAGTATTAAAATGTTTTCATTTAATAAAATAATTAAACTTCTAAAAAAGTCTTACAATATAAATATTACTTTCACTTATGTAGGATTAGATGTATCTTGGAGAATCTATTTAATAAAATTATTAAATTATATTTTCCTGTTTTAGAAATAAATAGCTTTTTATTTCTGGAAACAAAATTTTAATGATATTTTATAAAGAGTCAGACTTTGATTAATTATAATTTTAAAAGCCAAAATTGAAATGATGGGTGGATAAATGAATAAACCAAGGTGCATAATAAGAAAAATGAATAAAATCAATTATGTTCTGCTTGGAATACCTAATATCATATAATAATAATAACAGTTGTAAAGAAAACAATTTGTACACAGTTTCTGTTTTAGTTGAAAACTTTATTTAA